ACAACCCTCCTTTTTTTCCAAATGGGGGACTGATGGTAGTGGTGAGGAATGTCAGCATCTGTGTTGAGGATATTTTCTGTTTTATGGCTGTTTACTGGGAGATGCCAGCGAGTGCTGTGGTGAGAGCCCTGGGACTGGGCTACAGCCCCAGTCTCTCTGCCTCATGTCTGTCCACGTGGGCAGGAGATACCACACCAGACATCGTTTTTAAATCTAGTCACCGCAAGTTAGTAAAAAGACAGTATGACTTTGTTTTCTTTTTGTTACCCTTGGTTTCTTTCTGTTCCTACATTCATGTTTATGACTTGGCTCTCTGCTCTTATGACATAACCGTATCTGGTTGCTCTATAAATACCCACATGTTTTCCTACTGTATAACAAGTATTGAGGATATTATTACAAGACACAACACTGATCATGTAATTGCTTTGTAACCAAACTTTACTGACATGACCTCAAGGGAGTGGCAGTGGTTAAAAAAAGAGGCACGACTGATCAAAATAAGCTGCTCACATTATACTGGCAAAGTCTAAATTTTCCTTTCCAGGGTCAGACTGTCTGCTGACATGGCTGCAGTTTTTGGCTTGACGTGGCCGTGTTTTACAGTAAGGTGGAGTGGATCTCCTCTGTTTAAAAAATGAATAACAACAATAGACAAACGAGAGAGGAAGTTGTGTGCGTGGCACATGTGCCGCGTTATAGATTGACAGGATGTTTAGCAGGAATCATGTGGGGTGACCCCAGTCCCTCATTGTCACTTCATAGAAGACCAGTGATAATGTGGCTAACATACAGCCATGTGAAAAACAAAGTTTTCACACAACTCTATGCAGTACTGTGGAAAAATAAGTACACCCTTAATGTTTCCATAGTAATAAAAAGAAGCTAAATAGCAGCCAGATGCTGCTAATCAAGTGTACTTGAGAAGCTGATCAGCACTGTGACCACCTCAATAAGACCAAACGTTTTGACCGTTTGCTAGTCTGGAGCATTCAGAGGAGTGAATGTCAGAGCAACTTCGTCCAAAGATCAGACCATGCAATGCTCAGAGGAAAGTCAAAATAACCAAGAGCTGTACAGGCTTCAGCTAGCGTGTTAAATGTTAAAGTTCATGACAGCAAAGTTTAAAAAACATTGAACAAGAATGTCTTGATGCATTCTCAATCATCCAGGAAAAT